CAAAAGGGGAGTGGAGTTTGCAGGAGACAATTACTTCGCTTCATTGGTTCGTGACTCTCCGAAACTCCTGGCCAAGTTTTGCAGATATCGGCCTGGCAGCTCTCCAAGACAGAGAAGGTCTGTGACCGTAAATCCTCCCTTGAAAAACTTTGCTGGAGGTGAATGAGCGGAATTCACAGGAAATAAACAATAAACAATAATTTTGTCAGGACAAAGAGTTTGTTCCAGCCTTTTGGGAAGCCTGGGACAAAGCAGGCTTAGAGAAGTTGCCCTCTCTCTAATCCCACCCCATCTGGGGATGGTCGTGGAGGTTGGGGTGAGGGGGAGCATTCTTAGAGGGCATCAAGTGGTAGTAGGTTGGTTTATCTTCAGGACCGAAGACTTACTTTGTGCAGGGTATCCTGAGGTCAGATGCTGGCAATCCTACAAATGGAAATGAAGAAATGTCAGCGTGGTTCAGGAAGTTGCCCACAGAACATGTCAGATTAACTGCAGAATGGATACATTACCAAAGAAGTTGGCCCACTAAAATGTTAACAAGACAAACTCACTTCTGGATGAATATTCAATCATTTGTCCATATCCCCATTTCCCCCAAGATCTCTGTCCTTTGCCAATCTTGCTCACTAAGGGGCACCTGCTCTTCAGGATGTCCCCAGTCTTTTCTGAAGGCATCAAGGATCAAACATGGAAAGTCCAGCATCCAAATCAAAGACGTCGGGATATTAGGGTTCGTGTCTGCTCTGGCTTCTGAAAGGTCACGTCCCATATTTGCCATAAGAGGAACATGTATTAATGACTGGTACTTAAACCAGTCTGGTGCTTAAACCACTGATAGGCCTAATTGGAATCTGTGCTTCTGATGGAAAGAGGGCAGGAAAATAGAAACTGGGAAAGGGGAGGAAGGAAGGGAGGGAAGGAAGGGAGAGAGGAAGGATGGGAGGGAGAGAGGAAAGAAAGGAGGGCGGGAGAGAGAGAGGAATTCAGTGGAATTCATAGATGGAATAATCTGGTGCAATAGGCAGATGTCCTCCAGGAGAGACATTCCTACAAATAACTTATCCCCAATTTACACAGGGCTTCCAAGGTGAGAACCAGCCGAGGTGGCACAGTGGTTAAATGCAGTACTGCAGGCCACTCCAGCTGACTGCAGTTCTGCAGTTCGGCTGTTCAAATCTCACCGGCTCAGGGTTGACTCAGCCTTCCATCCTTCCGAGGTGGGTAAAATGAGGACCCGGATTGTTGTTGGGGGCAATATGCTGACTCTGTAAACCGCTTAGAGAGGGCTGAAAGCCCTATGAAGCGGTATATAAGTCTAACTGCTATTGCTATTGCTATGTTCAAACCCAGTGCAGCCTGTACAGCAGTGTGGTAACCCAGAGACATGGTGTCATAAAGGGGCCCTCAAAACTGCACAGGAGCTGCATTCTGGACCACGTTGTCACAGTCTTCAGAGGTGGCCCCACGAACTGCGTATCTCAACATCATGCAATCAGGTTTTATTAGACAGATTGGGAGTGCAAAACGTCACCAATGGCCTTGGCTCGCTCCAAGGGAATTCTGGGAGCGGTAGACCCAACATCACAACGTACTACCTTGTGATTTCGTATCTCTGAACAAACACATATTTGCAAGATGCTCTTAAACCTACCTGGGCCTTGCTTGGGATAGTAAATTTGTTCTGTTCCGCTTTGCCGGGAGTGTGGATAGCAGTGAGAGGCGGAGGCCATGAATGGGTCATCTCCTAGCAATGGAGCAAACAAAACACAGGAGTATATTTTCAAGTCAAGACCAAGCCATGTTCTTTCTCTTTGCTTTTCCTTCTAAGCATCCCCAAAGTCACACTGGGGGGGACGACTCACATGCCGGGGCTAAGCCATGCAATTGTTTGGGTTTCTTGTGTGATTTGTAAATTAGGCTATAAATTGGGAGGGACCTTGTAGTCATCTAGTCCAACCCCCCCTGCCCAAGCAGGAGACCATACACCCTTTCTGAGAGATGGCAGTCCAGTCTCTCCTTGAAAGCCTCCAGGGATGAAGCTCCTACAACTTCTGAAGGCAACTTCTGTTCCATGGGTTGATTGTCCTCACTGTCAGAAAATTTCTCCTTATTTCTAGGTTGAATCTCTCCTTGCTCAGTTTCCATCCATTATTCTTTGTCTGGACATTGGGTGTTTTGGAGAATAGCTTGACCCCCTCATCTCTGGGGCAGCCCCTCAAATATTGGAAGGCTGCTCTCCTGTCTCCCCTGGTCCTTCTCTTCACTAGACCAGCCAGGCCCAGTTTTAGCCTCCAGTCCCCTCATCATCCTGGTTGCTCTTCTCTGCACTTTTTCTAGAGTCTCAACATCTTTTTTTATAGTGTGGTGACCAAAACTAGATGCAGGACTCTAGGTGTGACCTTACTAGGGCTTCAGGTATGAGAATGAAAAATGCACCCAACCATTGGTGGCTTCTTCAGCACAACAGAGTTTAAAGCAGAGCAGAGTATGATGTGTGAAAATCAGCCTCTCCAGAAATGGATTGCATTTTTCAGCTTGCCCGCGTTTGTGTAATGTTTTTGTTAAAAAAAGAAAGAAAGAAAGCAGGGGAGGTTTGATTTTAGTTTCTTGATGTATTTCTTTGTTTATTTGCAGGCTGCTCTCATCCACCAGCTCTGAGTGACATGTAACTCTCCAAGATGTAATTGGGAGTAAACCAATGCAATCAATTTTTAAGAAGGTTGCAACAGTTACATCAATAACTCAGTCAAAGTAAAGTAACTATTTGCTTTAAAAGCGCATAACTGGAAAGGGAAGAGAGGGCTTCATCTCAAAGGAGGTATTGCCTGTCCAATACCTTCTCACACCATCATGGATCGTGAGTATAGATTGCTTCAGCCCTGCCCTTCAGCCATCCGTTCAGACAGAATGACTTTTGACCCAATCATTACATAATCTATGGATGCTGCATGTGAAGGTGAGGGTGAATATCTTCTTCCCTTTCTCTAAGACCACCTAACAGAGGGCCCTGCCTGTTGTGGCCTACCAGAGGCCAGCAGAGCTGGCAGCAGATTCGGACAGTGAGGAGGTTGGGGGGGAACCTGGGCCAGTCCTGGAGTCTGGGGAAGGCTCTGATGAGGGATCTGTGTTGGAGGCAGAGAGGGGGCCAGGGCTGTATGCCAGTTATCAGCTGCCTTCGGAGTCAGACTTCAGTGAGGCAGAAGCTGGAGCCTGTTCCCAGTGTGCGCATGCGCAGAGCTGCCAGACAAAGGGAACAGCTAAAGAACAGGGGTTGACTTGGGAGTAAGGTCACAGGTGGATGATGAATTTATCTCCCGGAGGAAATAAAAGGGGAGCGAAAGGGGAGTGGAGTTTGCAGGAGACAATTAGTTCTCTCCGAGACTCCTTGCCACGTTTTGCAGATCTCAGACTGGCAGCTCCCCAAGCCAGATAAGGTCTGTGACTGTAAATCCTCCCTTGAAAGACTTTGCTGGATGTGAATGAGCTGAATTCACAGTAAATTAATACAAGGTGGTTTTTTTGGCAGGATCCGGAGTTTGCTCCAGGCTCTCGGAAAGCCTCGGTCAGAACACTGCCTTAATTTATCCCCACAACAGCCACTCTGTAGAACAGGGAAGATGTCCTTGACAGAGATGGACAAGATAATTTGGGTATTAAGAGGAAAAATGTATCTTAAGCCCACAACAAGCAGATAACATTAGGAAGTGAATCAGAAAGACTCCTTCCTAATTCACCTGAGTGTAAGAAAGGGGAGAAGGTCTGACTCAATAGCCCAGCAAGTGTGTTGAGAATCAATCTCAATTAAAGCTGTTTTAGCTTTTCTATGGAGTTGATTCCTGGTCTGGTCAACCTAGAGGGACTGACAGGTATTGGGTTGAGAAAGAGTCACTCATTTCCATAATTTGACCCTGGGTATGTTTGAATAGGGACGCACGCGGTGGCTCAGTGGCTTAGACACTGAGCTTGTCCATCAGAAAGGTTAGCAGCTCAGCGGTTCAAATCCCTAGTGCTGCATAACAGAGGGAGCTCCTGTTATTTGTCCCAGCTTCTGCCAACCTAGCAGTTCGAAAGCAGGTAAAAATGCAAGTAGAAAAATAGGAACCAGCTTTGGTGGGAAGGGAACAGCGTTCTGAGCATCTTTGGCATTTAGTCATGCCATGGAGACGTCTTCGGCTTTGAAACGCCCCCTAGAGTCAGGAATGACTAGGACATATATGCGAGGGGAACTTTTACTGTTTGAATCCGACACCTTAGCCACTGTGCCATATTCGCTGTTTCTTAAAGGTTTTGAGGGCTGACCAGATTCTCAGATGGGACTTATTTTCTGGGAGATCCCTATTTCAAGCCAAACGTAGGAAAACTGAATTTAGTTCTGAAATGACATAGGGTTTCCTTCCGGAGCAAAGGGTTGGATTAGAAGACCTCCAAGGAGGTCCCTTCCAACTCTGTTATTCTGTTAGACCAAAGGTCTCCGAACTTGGCAATTTTAAGACTTGTGGGCCATGCTGGCTGGGAAATTCTGGGAGTTGAAGTCCACACGTCTTAACGTTGCTAAATTTGGAGAGCCTTCATGTACACCAAGCAGCTAAAGCTTCATTTCAGAATGCAGGCCAGGGTTTCCAAAACTCTGTTAACTAATGGGGAAAAAAAGTTCAGATTTCTTGCATGAAGTGGTGCAGAAGAGAAAGACGGCGCTTTCAGAAATGACACTAGAGAATTGCTGACTTTGACTCAGGGGTCCTCCATCCTAAAGATTGAAACTAAAGATTGAAGCATTGTTTTAACCGGCTCCAGGTTTTAATCCCCTTAAATTGTATTAATGAGGAATAGGCATTAAACCAATTCCGGATTCTTCATTTTCTTTTCTTCTTCATGGATACTGTTGTCATTTTAAAAGTATCTGTAGGTGCTGTCACGTATAGAGCGGAGAAGCATACACCCAGAAGACGCTAATGAATGGCCAGAAAAAAAGAGGATGTTGTGGTACAATTTGTCTCTAAGGCAGAAGAATTAATGGCTCTCAAAAGAATTGAAGAGAATTAGCAGGCAGAGCAATTAATTCCACGATACTCTTGAAGGAGTGAAGAGGCAGGATGAACTGCGTCCCAGAAATAAAGCAGACAAAACATGTTTGTTTGAAAGTACAATTGCATTCATCTTGCGTTTCTGCAAGAAAAGTCTCTTTCCCATGATTTGGCCTCGGGAGCAATTTGGCGAAGTAGATAATAAGAGATCAACTCTGACTGCTCTTTAGAAGGCCAGGTCCTGAAGATTAAACTTAAATACTGCTCTATTCAGAGGACCAGGTGCCCTAACTCTGAGGACATAGCAAATACTTTGGGCACCTAATGAGAAGGAAGGACTCCCTGGAGAAGAGCCTCATGCTGGGAACGATGGAGGGCAAAAGAAGAAGAAGGGGACGGCAGAGAAGGAGGGCGCTGGAGGGAGTCACCGAAGCAGCTGGCGTGAGCTTAAATGGACTCCAGAGGATGGGAGAGGACAGGAAGGCCTGGAGGAATGTTGTCCATGGGGTCGCGATGGGTTGGACATGACTTCGCAACTAACAACAAGAAAATACCTTAATAAAAATTTTGATTTACAGAAAATATCTTTGGCTTCCCTAAAGGACAGAAGGAAAACTACCCAAAAGTGCCTGTTTCTGGAATTATTCCTGAAAGTGTTTAGTTCTACTTTATGCACTAAGCCTCCAAACCCACCAACTGCCTCTCTCCAAAACTGGCAGCCAAACTCCTAAAAATAAAAAAAAATTAAACTCATGTCTCCTCAGCCATAGCAGATTAGCAGCCCATTTAGCATACGGGAGGATTCAAACGGAATTCTCCATTTTCTCATTGCATTCTAACTGATTTCACCTAATCCGTGACTCCTTTTCATTAAAATGGGACACTAAATTATAAGAGGATCATTAAATGGATGCACAGGACTGTGTTATGGCTGAGGGAGCCATTAGATCAGACTAAGTTTCCTCAAATTACTTGGCGCAAAGAAGAATACGGAAACATATTCTCCATTTTGTGAGAGGCAAGTTGCCTTATCAATTCTGTTAGCCTTTGTTCTGACCGAGGCTTCCCCAAAAAGCCCGAGGCAGAGTCCTGGTCTCCACAAGACCCCTTTTATTATACGAATGTGAATTCCTCTCATTCACATTCAGCAAAGGCTTGGCAAACGGTCTTTCAAAGGAATATTTATGACCACAGACCTTATCCAGCTTGGAAAGCTGCCATGTAAACACTTTCCAAATGAGGTGCTGTGGAAGGAAAGTCTGGGCACAGAGTCTCTGAGATTCACAGACAGATCTCCACACTCCTGAAACAAATCTAACGACCAACTGAGCGATATTTTTCCTGCAAAAAAACCCTCCTCTTTCGCTCCTCTTTTATTTCCTATGGGAGGAGCCAAGCACCTTCCACCTGTGGCTTTACTCCCAAGTTGGCCCTGATTTCTGAGTTGTTGTTTTCTTCTGGCAGCTCTGCACATGTGCACACTGGGAACAGGCTCCAGCTGTTCTTCTGCCTCACTGATGCCTGACTCTGAAGGCAGCTGATAACTGTTGGACAGCCTTGGCCCCCTCTCTGCCTCTGACACAGAGCCCTCCTCAGAGCCTTCCCCAGACTCCAGGACTGGCCCAGGTTCCTCCCCAACCTCCTCACTGTCCGAATCTGTTGCCAGCTGTGCTGACTGCTGCCAGCTTTGGAAAAAAAGAGAGGCACCTGCATCTTCTCC